ATTATAACGTGCAATTTATAACTGGTGGTAGAAAACTTGTTATCGAGCACGATGTAAGATACGTAATCGTCGTTTCTGTCGATGAACCTCGACGAATGGAACGGGTCGAGGATCGGGCCGCATTATTTTTAGATTTCCGAACCCGTGCCTAACACGAACATCTTTTTCTCGTTCATATTTATAATTATCGCAAGCAAAGTTTTCGCGACATCCTGTTTCTCGAACCTCTCCCCTTTCGCATTGCGCGACAAACGTTTCGTCACTTCGCACGTATCTTCTTCCGTGAATCTTTACCGCCAACTCTTTCTCTCCGAGTCGAGTCTTCGTTTCTTCGAACATGGACACGTTTTAAAGGAAAGATACGGAAGAGTATCTCCTTCTAAGAATGAAAGAATTGCGAGTTTCGATCGATTCTTTCCGTCCGAAAAGGGAAAGTTTTCTTATCGAAAACTAGAATCGTAATCCTATAAGTATAAAGACGTTCGGCTTAAACGGCCATTAGGAGACGGCGGTCTAATATCCTGGCAACACGTGACACTGGCCACTGTTCCTCGTATGGAACACTTGGTGGATATTAAGAACGAGGTATTCGATATAGGGCCGTGACGAAATGGGAACACGAACGGAAAGTTTGGCCGTCGATCGGAGGCCGGTGTGTCATCCGATCGCCTGCATTTCCCACGCATTTTCCCGTAAAATTTTAAACGACTGCATAAATCACTACGTAAAATCTGGTAAAATTTACGAGATCGATCGTGGTAAAACGATATTTTCCACGAGGAAGAAGAAGGAGAGGAAGAAGAAGAAAAAGTAGAGCTCTGAAACAAAAGTTTCAACAAAATTAGAGTTAACGAATGTTCATACCTTTAATTCATTAGTGAATTAACCAATTAATTTTAGTAAGGAAATTAGTAGTGGCTTTCTATGCCATAATATTATTTCTAATTACCCTTATTCTCGAGCAATAACAATTAAACGTTCAAAAAAAAAAAAATAATGCCATCAGCGAATTCCCATAATAATAAAATTTACACGGAAAGAAAAATCCAGAGCGCACAACTTGGTACATATTTCGCGCATATTTTGTTCCACACGATCATCTGCGTTGTCCGCAAACGACGCGTTTAACGAACTCGTAGCCGCAGGAGTTGGCTGCCCCATCGCCGCTACGAAACTAATCTCGGAGCCAGTGGGATCGCCATCGGAAGGGATCCAGGTGGTGGAGAAACAATATCGCGCGATATTACTAGCTGACGCGTCGCGGAATATATTAGATCCGGCCCAATTACAATGCCTCGATACCTTCTCTATCCCTGCGTAAGCTGTTTTCGCAGACTACCTCTACTCTCTCTATCTCTCTCTCTCTCTCCCCTCCCGCACGAAATGGAAAACGCGTTTACGTTCTAAGCCGGGGCTTAATATAAGCCGTTGACCGGCTCTCCGCCAGTGATTTCGATGTTACGATAGCAGCGTTGGCCGGCCAAGTGATCCTCGATCGATTTCCTCTCTCTCTCTCTCCCTCTCTCTCCCCCGATCTCCGACTCGCGGAGATTAGGTCATGGACCAGAGAAACGGGTTAGGCCGTGTGGTAAGTACACAAGCTGCTACACGAGCGTATCCCAGTGATGAGATGATTGGCCCGCTAATGAAACCTGATAGAGAACCCACCACTGCCTCCGTTGCGGATTATTCCGCCGATGTAACGCGATGGATCGTGATCCCGATCATGCTATCGCTTCCGGCTAAACTGCAATCCTCCTCCACTCTCCTCTTGTCCACAGATCCAAACATCGAATTTTTTCTCCCTTTCTTCCTTTTTTTTTTTTTGAGTTAGCGAAAGGTGGTAGATTTTGTTGACACGAGATACGGGCCGAATGGCGGAAGCAGGGAGTGGAAAGGGAGTGCGCAGGTGCGGAGGATCGAGTTTCTTTTTGTTTCCTCGTGGCTGCTTCTTCTTTCCCTTCGTTGGATACGACTTTGCGTTGGCCTTGCGTCTAATTAAAAGTACCGCGAAATTTAAACCGTTCCACCGAGTGAGGACGGATGGGAAGGAAGGGAAGCGATCCTATAATCCAGCGATTTTTCCGGGATTCGAGGAGAAAAATCGGCGCGTTATCTGAGAAATGGGGGCTCGTAAAGAATCGGGATGAATCGAGATAGGGCGGTGTATAAATTGACTCGGTATCGCTATGTCGTGGCAAAGTGGCGAGTGATAAAAGTCGCGATTTCCTTTCGAACGCTTCGAGATCGTCGAGCTCGTGGAAAAGAAATTTCGCGTCCACTTTTCCTACGGATCCCTGGTGATCGTTCGATGAAACGTTCGTTTTCACGCTACATTGTCTCTAATAGCGGGGAGAAGAAGAGGGGGGGAGGAGTTGGCTCAATTTCGAGGGTGGCCGACTTTCCGTGATTTCCGCGCGAATTTCGTTCGTCCAATTTCGCTCGTATCGCCAGTTATCGTTCGAAACTTCGAAAAGCGTAACGACATTTTGATTCGAATAACTCGGCCGAGAAAGAAGAAGAAGAAGTTTAAAACATTTTCGCACCGTACGCGTAACAATTTCTAGAGAAGAGATTTCTAGAGAAATTCGGGCGAACGAAAATAAAATTAATTTCCACCAGGTAGCCCGAGGTTTCATCGTTGGTCGATATTTCTCTCGAATTATCCCCGCGAAAGAGAATTTTCCTTCGATGTTAGCCGTCCTCTTCCTTTTCGTTCAAACTTTTCTGCTTTTCACCGGCGATCGGAACGGAAAGAAAGAAGGAGAGAGAGAGAGTGGGAGGAAACGCAGGATGAAAGAGACAAGGAGAGAGGCAACAGCCGTTTGAACATCAACAGCTGCATCGCAGCCCGCCCCAGCTACCCGCCTCCTCTATTTGCTCCTCTTGCATTCTTCGTGGAATAGTTTGGTCTCGCCGCGGATATACACCGCGGACTACGCCCAGAGAGAACGAAAGAGATTAAGAATATCTTTTTCGGGGTAGCCGTTCAAACGAAACTGTTCTCTTCCTCCGTCCCTTCCTTCCTTTCCTCGAAACGTTAACCGAAACGCGGAGCGAATCGAGCACCACTGCGTCGACCATCAGAACGAGAGAGAGAGAGAGAGAGAGAGAGAGAAAATATCCGTGTCGACCCCTGAACCCGAACCTCGCGTTCTCGACCGAAAGGAACGCGCGAGAATCTCGAACGGGCGAGAAAGTATAAAACTCTTCGAGATTTTGGAAAACTGGATCGAAAGGCTAAAGGTTCGAAAAAGTGGAGAAAGAAAAAGGAGAGAGAGAGAGAGAGAGAGAGAGAGAGAGAGAGAGAGAGGAGAGAGAGAGAGAGAGAGAGAGAGAGAGAGAGAGAGAGAGAGAGAG